AGAAGTGAGAGATGTCAAAAATGAACAAATTGAACTTCTAAAGATGGAAAATACAATAACTAAAGTGATAAATATACTGGATGGGATTAACATTAAATAAGATATTGCAGAAGAAAATATCAATGAACTTGAAGACAGCCATAAAAACTATCAAAAAGAAAAGAGACAAAGACTTAAAACTAAATGAACAAAGCATCAGTGGTCTGTTTGATAATATTGAATAGTCTGACATATCTATATTAGAGTCCAAGAAGAATGAAAAATGTTAGAAAAAATAAAGTTTAAAACTTTCCCAAATTTTATTAAAGTTATAAAATCACGGATTCAAGAAACTCCTAGTAGAAGAAACAAAAAGAAAATCACACCAAGGCACATCATAATCAAATTGCTGAAAAATAATAATAGAGAAAAAATCTTAAAAGCAGTTAGAGAAAAAGAAGACACATTATGCATAGAGGAATAAAATTAAGAGTGACAGCAGTCTTCTTTTCAGAAACCACACAAGCCAAAACACAGTGGAACAACATCTTTACAGTAACGAAAGAAAAAATATGTCAACTTAGAATTCTATACCCAGCAAAAATATATTTCCAAAATGAAGGCAAAATACTTTTTCAGAAAAACAAAAGCCAAGAGAATTCATTGCCAGCAGACCTGAAATACAAGAAATATTAAAGGAAATTATTCAAGAAGAAAGAAAATGATACCAGATAGAAATTTAGATCTACAAAAAGGAATGAAGAACACCAGAAATGATAACTATGTGGGTAAATATATGATAAGTAAGTATCGTTGGTTAAATGGTAAATATGTGAGTATATATAGAGGAAAGATTTCCTCATTTTAATAATCTCTTTAAAATATAATTGACTATTTAAGACAAATATATCAATGTATGTGGGGTTTAAAACATGTAAAAATATATGACAATAACACAAAGGATGAGAGGGAGGAAATAGAAGTCTATTGTTGTAGTATCCTTACATTATACTTTATGTGATATAATATTATTTGAAAAGTAAACTGCAATATGTTAAATAAAGATATATATTTTAAATCCTAGAGAAACTACTATAAAAGTAAAACAAAGTGGTATAACTAATAAACCCATAGTGGAACAATTTTTTAAAAACCAACCCAAGAGAAAGAGTCAAGGAAAAAGAACATATGGGTAATTAGAAAACAAATAGCAAAATGGTAGATGTAAACCCAGCCATATTGATAATCACATTAAATGTAAATGGCCCAAATACTCCAATAAAAAGCAAAGATTGTCAAACTGGATTTAAAAAGTAAGGTCCAACTATATGCCATATACAAGAAACTCACTTTCAATATAAAAAACATGTATAGGTTAAAATTAAAAGGATGAAACAAGACATACCTTGCAAACACTAATCAAAATAAAACATGAGTATATAATATGAGACAAGTTGATTTCAGAATAAGGAGTATTACCAGAGATAAAGAGGGACATTTCAAAATAAAGGGGCCAATTCATCAATAGAACATAATAATCCTAAATGTGATGCACCTAATAACAGGGTTTTAAAATGCATGAAACAAAAACTGATAGAACTAAAAAAAGACACAGACAAATCCAAAATTATAGTTGGAGATTTCAATGCTTCTCTCTCTCTCTCTCTCTCTCTTTTTTTTTTTTTTTGAGGAAGATCAGCCCTGAGCTAACATCTGTTGCCAATCCTCTCCTTTTTTCTCCCCAAAGCCCCAGTAGATAGTTGTATGTCATAGCTGCACATCCTTCTAGTTGCTGTATGTGGGACGCGGCCTCAGCATGGCCAGAGAAATGGTGTGTCGGTGTGCGCCCGGGATCCGAACCCGGGCCGCCAGTAGTGGAGCGCACGCACTTAACCGCTAAGCCACAGGGCCGGCCCTCAATGCTTCTCTCTTGATAGTTGATAGAACAAATAGACAGAAAACCAGAAATATAGAAAATTTCAACAACACTGTCAACCAACTTGACCTAATTAACGTTTATAGAATAGTCCAACCAACAAAAGCAGAATATAATACTTTTGAGTTCACATGGAAGAGTCACCAAGATAGGCCATATTCTGAGCCACAAAATAAGTCTCAATAAATTTAAACTATATTCTTTGACCACAACAGATTCAAATTAGAAACCAATAACAGAAAGATATCTGGAAAATCCCCCAAGAATTTGGAAATTAAATAGCACAATTTTACATTATTATTGCCAATTGGATGAAAATGATGAGAAAGTCCTGATTGCAGATTGGAAATTATTCTGATTTATCCTTAAAATGTTTTCCTGAAGTTCTGCATTAAAGATTTATAGATTCATGTTGACACCAGGTCAAAATTCTGCTGTCCAGATAGATTAAGCAGAATGTTATCAAAGCAAGTATTATTCTTTTAGTATATTATAAATTACCACATGTCTTCTCTGAGAGAGAGAGAAAGATATTTCAAAAACACTATTGGAGTTGCTGCCACAATACAACTTATTCAGATCTAAAGAGGTCATACCTGCAGAAGCTCAGAGCAATTCAACTTATCCTTAAAAGAGCCGCAAGAAGACAAATATGTCCAATTTTTAATTCATATCTTCTGCTCTATCTGTAAAAATATTTTACTGTAACTATCTATGAACTCCCAGGAAGTATGTGACATTTAGTCACTTGTTAATGGGAAGTGAACTAATATGCATTAGTTATTTACCATATTTTAGGCACTATGCTAGATTTTTATTTATAATCTTTTTATCTGCTAATCCTTGAAAGTGTTTTATAAATTAGAGTTTAGAGATGAAAAAACTTGAGACAGACAGAGATTAAGTTAGTAACTTGCACAAAATCACACAACCAGTAAATGGTAGAGAAAATATTCCAATCCAGGTCTTTGTGATGTCAAAACCCAAATTCCATAAGTTGGATGATAATATATAACAGATTTCCTTCTTTTTCTGTATCCTTTCCTTAAGAATTTGGCTTTTCTAGAGCCAATGGGAAAGAACAGAGCCCTTTGGTCACTGAATCACTTTGTAAAGCTACTGGTTGCTCCTGGTGGTATGAAAACATGAATGAAGTATTCACACATTAGGGACATGATCCTAAGTAGAGAAACACTGTGTGCACATGTCAGATAACCAGTAACTCTAATGAAATTGTTAGGTAATTTTTGATCAAGTGAAAAGTTTAAAAACTTTCCAAAGAGGATATGCTTTACAGAAAAATATCGAGGGCAAACTACACATAGCTTAGATGTTAAGTTTGTAGCCATGGGCACAAGGTTTAACATGATATAACCTAACTTTGAACAGAGTTATCACTGTTCAATTAGGTGTGAAGTTTTCTTTTCTTCCCAACTCCAACTCCTTGACATCAGCTTCAAGTCTATTCCTTGTTAGCTCAGATAAGAGATTTGACTCTCATGGATCTGAAAGTTCAAATACCACAACACCCAAAATGTTAGAAACCTTTTGATGAATGCAATTGAACTTTTGTACAGGAAAAGACTCCTCCATGGAGCATGCTGACTCAGTTTATTTCAACTTAATAGCAGTGTGACTGAGTGACACCAACATAGAGCTGAAATGGAAGATAATGGGACCATACATGTTTACAGAATGTCTGTTTTCAACACGTAGGATTTCAGCCACCAACTGCCTGCAGAGAAATGGTCAAAGGTGAGATGTGAAATTTCATATTACTTTGTGGTAAAGCACATTGATTCACTCCAAAGCAACACATGTTTATTAAGCTCCTACTGTAGTTGTATAGACAGTAAAAAAGATGAGTGTTTATTCCACACTCTTAAGAAGTTTTAAGGTTTAAAGGTTGTAAGACAGGTAAATAAATAGACATATATATATAAGACAGAACATGAACGGTGTCTTAAAGGAGGTACAAAGTGCTATGAGGATCCAGAGAGATTACAGCTCCTTGAGTGGGAGACCTAGGCCCTACAGGAGAAGTAGTCCTTAGACCTTGGACAGACAGCAAGTAGGAGTGAGTGAGGCTACAGGTGATGCTTCAGAGAGAGAAAGCATCATCAAGAATCACACATAAACACACCAGTGCTAGCCGTATTAAAGAAATAGTGAGTCATTAACTTTATCTGGAATTCAGGTTCCCTCACACTACATTTAGAGCAACAGTGGGAGATAAGATTGAAAATGTAGGTTGGGGGCTTATTCAGGAGGCCTTAGAATATGGAACTGAGTATTTGTAATTCAAGAGGCATTAATGATGTAAAGATAGTCACATTGATTTACCATAGTTATTGGTACCCTAGGGCATATAGACTAACCAACTGCCCCCAAACTCTTCTCACATGCCCATTTATAATGGTTACATAGGGTTTCATTATATGGATTTACCATTTATTTGGTAAATAGCCTTTATAGGCTGTCTCTAATATTCTGCAATGCAATAATTTTATAATGACCCTCTTTTGCTAATTTTTTTCTCTTTCACTTTACTTCCATAGGCTAGAATCTTAGATATTAAACTGCTTGGATAAGATAGAAAACAATTTAAGATTGCTGATACATATTTTAAGATTAATTTGCTCCACCACTTGTGCAAATTTACAGTTCTACTTGAGGTTTTAAATTTAGTAGTCTGAATGAATTTTACCTTTTCCCCCTGAGTACCTTATGGGTTCTGCTAAGCCTCTGATAAATATTACTCTGTGCAAGACTACCCCTTTAAAAATAAACCTTACTCTCAATAAAAGAACTTTAATAAGCTTGACTAAATATTTAGAAAGCATATTGTGCTGAGTGGAACTTTGTATGTAATAAATAATGAGTGTAATAGAAGATCACATTGGATGACTGGTCTGTAATTGTGTTAAAGAATGCATACAATGAAACAAGTTGTTTTGGTCACTTCCTCAAACAGCCAACACAATGGGGAAAGTGGAGGAAATGCCCATGAACACTACGAAAAGGGAACCAGAAAGCCTAACGTGTAAACTTGGAGAAAATGACAGCAATAGAAAAGAAAACCAACAAAGGAAAACACCTTCCAGAACAATCTGAGATGCATGAAAGGCAAACATTCACTAGAGTTGGAGCTTTACTAAGTCTGCACAAAGATAAGTGGCACATTTGACTTTTACCATGATAAAGAAGCAATTCTTTGAAATTGTGTTGGTACTTCTGGCCTCTTCTTCTATTTTCTCACTAGAACTGAAACTAGTTCTCTTCCAACAAAGAAGAGTGAACAGAGAGAGTTTAAAACTCTTGAATAAATTGCAAACCTCATCAATTCAGCAGTGTTTACCACACAGGAAAAACTTCCTGCTTCCACAGAAATCTGTGAATCCTCACCAGTATCAGAAAGGACACGCACTGGCTGTTCTTCATGAGATGCTTCAGCAGATCTTCAACCTCTTCAGGGCAAATATTCCTCTGGACGGTTGGGAGGAAAGCCACAAGGAGAAATTCCTCATTGAACTTCATCAACAGCTGGAATACCTAGAAGCACTCATTGGACTGGAAGCAGAGCAGAAAAGTGGCACATTGGGTAGTGAGAACCTTAGGTTACAGGTTAAAATGTACTTCCGAAGGATCCTGGATTACCTGGAATACCAGGAATACAGCAGCTGTGCCTGGACCATTGTCCAAGTAGAAATCAACCGGTGTCTGCTCTTTGTGTTCCGACTCACAGGAAAGCTGAGCACACAAGGAACGGACTCTTGAACCATGTGGAGCCAGAGCCAACGGCGGGCTTTAAAATCACAGGGTAGGTGGAGCGGTGGGAGGACTTCTCCAGACACTGTTATTTCTTTTTGTCATAAAATGGTAGTACTGTTTTAGTTTTGTGTACATATATGTATATTTGTCTGTGCTTTAAGATTATGCATAGTGATTACAATTGTTTTTGCTTTGTAATGTCGCTTTCTATTTTCTATCCGTCTCAAATTTTTATGAATTAAAATTCATTAATATATAATATTCATTAAGATTCATTAATATTTCATAACTGGTTCTTCAAATGAGCCAGGTAGATATAATGAAATACATCTCCACTGTAATAATACTTTTCTTAACATAGAACATCCGTTCCAATGATTTCTTTATTTGCCAGAAATTGGTAGAAACAATAAGAATAATTTGCATTGCAAGATTTGAAAACATCATTACACACTGAATATTTGTTCACAGGTGACACAATAGAAATATGGCCAAAGGACACAAACAAGCAGTTTGCAGAGGGAAAAAATGCATGAAAAGAGGTTCAACCTCACTCATAATAATAAAAAAAAATTAAAAAGTGAATAACACGCCATTTATAACCCATCAGATAGGTGAAATCCCAAAGTTTGATATAAAAACACTCTTGTAGAGACTTTGGGGAGAGATGCTCTTATAATTTGTCAGAGCACTGGAAACTGCAACTATCACTGTAGAGGCAATTTGGTGACATCTATCAAAAATAAAGATGCTATAGTCTTTGATCCATCAATTCTGGTTCTGGAAATGTATCCTATAAAAATACTGGCACATGTGTGGAATGGCTTGCAAACAATATTATTCATTGCAGCATTATTTATAATATCAGAAGACAGGAAACCACCCAAATTCTTCTACTTAGAGACAATTAAGGTATATTCACACAAAGGAACACTACTCAGCTGGAAAAAAGAATGAGGGTGCTCTTCCTATAAAGTAAAAAAGGAAAATATAGGCAAGATACAAAACAGCATGTATAAGATGCTATATTTGAGATTACAATATAAAATAAATTTTATATTTGATCTTGTCTATGAATAAGTAAAGAATATATAAGAAATAAATTACAATGATTACTTGTATTTGTGGGGGGAAAGGAGGAGAGACTAAAAGAGAACAGGATGGGAGAGATTTTACAGCATATTTTTATATTTTAATTTTTAATCATGTGAATGTTACAAATTAAAATAATAAATTAAATTGTATGTATCAAGTCTCAGTTATCAGAAATGTGCATGGAGGAGTCTTGGTGGTGAAAGGAAGTGCTAGATGAAGGTTAGAAGAAACAGGACTGAGCCAGCCTGCCCTTGATTGGACAGAAGAAAGCCCATGGTAAGCGAGAGGTTCCCTGTTCCTGTGAAATGCTGGGGATGCAGGATTCTAGCTCTCCCAGCCAGGAGCTCCCAGAAATAGTCATGGAACAAATGTGGAACCAGAGAAACTGAAGTTCACTGAGAGTTGGTGACTTTCCCACAGTCACAGTGACTTTTGCCCAGTGTATGAAGCAGAGCCATGACCCCCAAATCTGGGGCCACTTCTCCTACTTAATGTCATGTTCTGCTTCCGATTCATTGCATAATTCGAGATAAAAGTTATGACTGAATGTAAAAGCTCACTGAGGAACAAAACATATTACATTTCAGTTTAATTAGTTAAGTGAGTAAATGTATTAACTATTGGGTGATGCTTCCAGATTTGGCTTGAAGGGACAAGGAGGAAGTGAATAGGATCCTGAGAGTGAGGCAGGGTCCCCTGCAATAGTAGAAGGGGCAGAGAAGCAGAGGCTGGGCCATCAGGAGGAAGTCTTTGTTGATTTCACATTTCAGCCCAGGGGTTGACCTATTTAACTTCAAGTTCACATGGAAGTAGGGAAGTGAACAGAGGAGAAATATTTACCACACTCGACTGCAAATAACAGGTCATTTGCTTCACATGGTCTGCAGAGTTTTTGTTGTTTTCTTTAAACCAGGGACTTTTCAAAACCAAACCCTTCATTTAACACGTTATTCAGTTCTCAAATTAACCTTGCAAGGTAGTTTCATTATTATCTTCTTTTCTCAGGTGAGGAGAACAAGACTTTAAAGGTGAAGTAACTTGCTCAGAGTCATGCAGCAAGCAAGCCACAGAGCTAGCAAATGCCAGAGCAAAGATTCTCTCCCAAGTCTGCCTGACTCGAAGCCTGCACTGTGTTCTAGACACCACAAACCTGAACAACATTGTGCAACATCACTGCAAAATAATAATGATAACTCTAATGATAAGAATTTGCTCCTGGCTGTCCTTATTCCAAGTTCACACACTCTCTGCAGTCTTGAATTAAAGAAAGGATATTTTCTCCCCCTGGACATTTCTGTCCTAAGAACTGAGGAGAACAGAATGAAGGAGCTGCCAAGTGGAAACTTAGAGCGGCTAATATTCATATTTAGAAGCTAAAATCAATACTTTACATGCTAATGTTTCCCCAGACATTTAGCTTTAAGTTGACATCCTGCTTATATAACTGTCTTAACTGCCTAGCACAAAATAAAAATTGCTTGCTTCTAAATATATGTGCTCTTTTAAAACTTTAAAACCAGAGTTCTAAACTTGGAGATATTGAAGAGAAGAAATACTATAAAAGATGTCCTGCTAATAGTGGGCTCAGAGTAGAGGTAAGTTTGTTTGTACTCACAGGCTGAGTCATGTGAGTCATCCTCGTTATATCTATATGTACTGAGCTACATAGATTATTAAATCAAAAACAGGTTATAGGGGCTGGACCAGTGGTGTAGTGGTTAGGCTCACACACTCTGCTTCAGCGGCCCAGGGTTCATGGGTTCAGATCCCGGGCACACAGACCTACACACCGCTCGTCAAGCCACGCTGTGGCGGTATCCCACATAGGAGGATTGGCACAGATGGTAGCTCAGGGACAATCTTCCTCAAGCAAAAAGAAGAGGATTGGCAACAGATGTTAGCTCAGGGCCAATCTTCCTCGCACACACAAAGTTACAAAATAACAGGTATAATATCATCGTATTTTCTACAAATAAAATATGCAAGAAAAATGTCTGAAAAGAAATGCACTAAAATGTTCACAGTAGTACCATCTGGGTGATAGAATATCCATTCTCTTACACTTTTTGGATTAAATATTTCTCCCATGAATATGGATTCATTTTAGAACCAGGAAAAGAATAAATTATTTTATTTTTGAAATTTAAAAAAAAGAACAAATACAGCCCCTTGTAGAGATTTTTCTTAGGATGCTTATCGCCTGCAGTAAATTAAGCCCCACCTCCAGCATGCATCAGAGTCATATAGAGGGCTTGTTAAAACCCAGATCGCATGGCTTCACCCTCAGTGTTTCTGATCCAATAGGTCTGGAGTGGGGCCTGAGTATTTGCATTTCTAACAATTCCTAGACAATCCTGATGCTGCTGGTCCTGTGACTACACATTATAAACCACACCCCTATTTCTTGATAGCCCTAGTAGACTTTTAACAGATGAAGGCATGGTCTCCGTGAGGTTACTGAGCTCATATTTTTCCACAATAGCTGGAGAGAAGTAAGCATCCTAGATGGGAGAGTGTTGGTAAGGATAGTTTTTTTCTATCATCACTGTCTTTTCACAGCAGCAGATTCAATGGTCTTTTTCCTTCTTAAAGAATCTGTATGTAGAGACTATAATACCCCAGGTGCACCCCATGACGATAACTACTTTTTAAGAAAATGGTTCAAAGCAAGTTTTTTTTTCCATAAGAGTTTCTGGTCCTCATGCCCGTGGTTGAGTGAAATCAAAATTACAACTGTAGCAATAACTAACTGGACAAAGAACATGTTGTGGACACAAAGGAAACAAACCTCTAAAAAATAGAAGATTCCAAGGCGAAAGATGGCAAACTAATCCAGTAATCTCTATTGAGAGGTATAAGTGTTTGGTAAACAGATTTTAGGGTCATTCTTGGAATTGCTGAAATGATTCAGTTAGCCCAAGTTTCCCCCCTTCCTGGGGTCTGCCTGTATCCAATGACTTGTCGGTGTGGAAATATAAAGTTTCAGACTCCTCACTCCATCTCTGAAGGGTCATCTTAGCTTCAGAGGCCCCCTTGTAATTGGCCAAGGCCACTTTGTGACTGCCCTGCAGCTCTACTTTCCCTCTGCTCAATCCTCTTGCCTTCTCGTCCCACAAGTGTTGATCCCATAACATTCCCTAATAAACTCCTTGCATGGTAATTTTTGTCTCAGAGTCTGCTTTCTTGGCACCTGACCTCCAATACCATAGCATACAGACCTTCCATTTATGGCCACAGAAAACCCGAACTCACATGCTATTTCCTTAGCCAGGTACATGTTCTCTTCCTAATATGTGTTAATATGTCATTTTTGCTATTTATGACTCACTAAAAATTTTTCCCTTCACAAAAAGCCCTTATAGTCTGATTTTTATGAATCTATTTGCCCCTCCAGAACACAACTCTTGCCATGTCACAAAACACATTGTACACAAGTAACAGATTACTTCTCTTTCTTCCACCTAGAGTATGTCCCACTTCATGGTAGGGAACATTCTTCAACACATAACAGGGGCAATCTAAGTACTGGATGAATGAAGAAATTAAAAATGCAGCATTAAAAGGGCTATATTGGTACCATAGTGTCATGGTTAGTTCTACATGTGAGGAGACTCTCCGTCTAGAGATGAGGAAGTCTTGTTTAGATGTGTCTACTAAGAGGTTAAGTTCCTATTTTTGTTTTTCAGTTTCTCTACTCTTCCTGGATGAACCATTTCGATAAGCTATTTCTTGGAGTAAAAAATAAAGCATCCGTCTTTCTCTGATGAAAGGATGGTTTTTATCCTTATATGGTAAGGGCACAATAAAATAAGGGTATGTAGGGCAGAAGTCCAGAAAAGCCTCTTTTCTGATTGTTCTGGTCATCTTAGAAAATCCTCTTCTGAGCTCACTCTTTATGGGCCTTTGGTTCCTCTCAGCCTGATAACAGTTAGTCACGCTTTCAACTGCCAAGTAATATAGAAACCCCTGAAACCAATTTGAGTGGTTCCAATGGGATCTATTTTTGGTTCAGTTTATACAAAACTTAATATATTGGAAAAATTATGAAAACAATACATGCAAATAGTGTAAATGGCTTAATTTTATAATTGTACAAAGTGTAACACTCTTCCCACTGTTATATTCAAAAGACCACTTGTCTTGTTATTGTCCAAGATGGGTGGCCACTGGATTAGTTTTTCTACCAGCTCTTAGTAAAGACTTGATGACAATTTTCCTCATTTCTTTGGACTGTATGCTTGAAACATTACAGGTAGGCAGAAGATAGCCAGCATGTAATGTGTGTTTAGAGGTAAGTGGTCAGAGTCACTTTGCAAGTATGCAGGGAGGGAATCATAACACAAAAACAGTCCCATGGGTTTACCTTCAACGCAAGAAGAATCTAGCTTCTCTGAAGTGTGGAAACCTGTTCAACCAAGTTTACGTCACTGAAGGTGGAGATGTTTATGCCTTGGCAAGGGCAGAGCCAAGACTGAGTAGAACAAAGGGCAGGGTTCCCTTGACCCATAAATCATGTAACTTTTTCTACATAAGAAAGCTAAGCACACATTGTTTTAGTGATATTCATTCCAAGTTAAGTTTAAGTACATGCCTTATACCAAGTAAGACATAGATCCCTGGGGAGAAATTTAATTATTCCAAATACGAGAAACTTATTTCAGTTCATGTCAGATGCACAAGGTAGTTATCAATCTGATCAAAATGGAGTTAATTTGAGAGCCTTAAGAATTGAATTGTTAGCTCGCATATTATTCAGTATAACAGACTTTTTTTAGTAACAGCTCTTAACCTATTCTCACTCCTTGGGAGTGGAGGAGAAAGAAGCTGGATGAAACTGGAAGGAAATAAGCATATTTCCAGAGCAAATTATGGAATTACAGGAAAAATGGCTTGAAGGACCCATTTGTGTCTGGTAGAGGAAGAGGGGAAAGAGGACACACTTTCTGTGGGTGGGATAGGGTTCAGGAGCTGAAACAAATAAAATAACAAAAATGTCCCCCAAATGCCTCTGGCTAAGTGGATTTCTACTATGGGTTGAAATTAGAAGGGCAAAGAGAGGAGTTTGGACATTTCAGGGTTTCAACTGTAGTAGTCTACATGGAAATAGTCTCAGAAGATACAAGATCAACAGTCCCATGGCAAAAAGTTGTTAGAGATTCCGCCAGCAGCTTCATGCTATAAATTGTAGGCACAAAGTTCCTTAGAGAAGTTGGGTCCATATCTGAGGTCCCGGACATCAAAAACCACATGTGGCACTATACACACGTGGGGCAGAGTGTAACATTCCAGAGGAAAGATTACTTCCCTAAAGCATCTCTCTCAGATTATTGTGTGCTGTCTTGTGCAACTAATGCCTGACATATTAAAAATAAACAAAAAGATCTACAAAAAAAACAAGATACAGAGAACAGATTGGTGGTTGCCAGAAGTGAAGGGTGGGGATGGGAGAAATGGGTGGAGGGAGTCAAAAGGTAAAAAGAAAAAAATAATAAATATTAAAAAATGAGATGAAAACAAACAAAAAACAGTAACTATCCTTCTCTTTCACATTCAGGGACGTGGTTATAAGGGTTGGGTCAACAGTGATCCTGGTGTTACATGGCATGGCTTTATCAAAGTTGACCTTCTACTCCCAAGCAGGGTCATTGTGACTGGATTAGGTTTTGGATATAACTCTCTTCTTTCTCAGGATGGGTTCTTGTTAGGATGTTCCTTGTCATTGTATGCAAATGGATCCCCGTGAGCCCACTCTAAGATCTCTAACACAAGCCCTCACTGGTATGAATCCAACAGCAGCACTGTTTAGGCTCAAGCTAGGCACCTTCAGTATATAAGAAAATATGTAAAAGATAATACATTATATAAACATGTTTAGACAATTCAGATGATATCAGATCCTGGATATACATCCAATATACTGAAACCCATCCGTAATAAAAACATATTTTCGAAGAAATAGATATAGTGGGCCTTGCCCACTGGGCCAGGCTTGGACTCAGGGTTATAATCTGGACAAGAAGGAGACCTCAAAGCTTCTGTATCAAATGAGAATTTTGCTTCTGTCATGCCTATAGAAGAGGGAGGATTTCAGATTCCCTCAGAGGCTGATGGAAAATAGCCAGCGACTGACCAAAGACCCAGCCACTGTGTCCGTGAGCAGCACCAGCAGATTTCCAACCTTGCAGCATAGAGGATGTTGTGCTGTTTGGTATGACACCCAGATGGAGAAATTCCTCACTGGGCCTCATCAGCAGGTGGACAGCTGGAGATGTATTAGGGG